TGGTGCTGTGGGTTAGGCACTGGGCTGCTAACAACAGGGTTGGCAGTTTAAACCTGTAAGCTGCTCAGAGGAAGAAAGATTAAGCTGATTTCCAGTCTGAGAAACCCTAGATAGGGTCCCTACTGAGTCTGAATCTTCTTCACAGCAGTGTTTTGGGGTTTGGTTTTGGTATACCTCACATTAGGAGTCCTGATAGCACCATAGGTTACACGTTGGGCTGCTAACCACAAGAGAGGCAGTTCAAACTCACTAGTCACTCCTTGGGAGAAACATGAGGTTGTCTACTACTATAAAGATTTACAGCCTCAGAAACCCTACATAGGGTAACTATGAGTCAGAATTGAATTGATGGTAATAGTTTGGGGTTTTTTGGTTGTTTTTTTTATGTACTCATAATTAAATTACAGAGTGAAACCATTGCCCTAAGTTTAAATGAAGATGGTACAAAAGTTAGTTAACAAAAGACTTCATAGTGCTTTGCAGAGTAAGCCTCACACCCCATCTCTACGGAGGAGCTGGGGTTGGAACACTCAAAATCCACTGTTCAAGTTCCTTCATCTGGAACTGTACTTGAGGGAACACTGCTGGTAATATGATTCACATTATCTAAAAGACATAGTTTTTTCTTTGTATTTGTGAACACATTAAATTATTATCAAGACTTATTTGCCTAAAAATGATTTTGTTTAAAGTGACTATGCCCAATTCGTCATCTTTCAGATATGTTATCAGAAGGGACCAGTCCCTGGAGAAGGACATCATGCTTGATAAAGTGGAAGGTCAGTGAAAAAGAGGAAGACCCCTAACAAGATGGATTGTCACAGTGGCAGCAGCAATGTGCTCAAGCTTAACGATGGCACAAGACTGGGCAGTGTTTCGTTCTGTTGTGCATACCATAACTTTGAGTTGGAACCAACTAGATGTCACCTAACAACAACAATAATGTCCAATTCTTTGGTCTGTTAAGAATTACATAGAATTTCCAAAGATGAATTTTATTTCTCTCATTTCTAAGTTTTAATCAAAACCATTGCCTTCTAAGTTTTAATCAAAACCAGACTTCAAGTATTGATAAATTGTAAGGGCTAAAAATTATATATGTATCATGAAACACATGATATTATCTCAATTATACTTCTAAAGTGAAATGAAAAAAAGTGACTTGTAAAAGGAGCTAGAAAAGAGCAAAATACCACTTGTTTCTGATCAATTAATAAAATATCATGGATTGACTCATACCCAAGTCCATTTAGTAAATCATTTAAAAGGTATATAAAAGAATAGTAATTCATATTGATTAAACACAGAATGCCTTAATAGGCCTTAAATAACTAGTTGGCAGCAAGTCAATTTCAATTCATGGCAATCCTATACACACTAGCATAGAACAGTGCTCCACAGGATTTTCAATGGCTAATTCTTCTGCAGTAGATTGCCAGAACTTTCTTCCAAGTCCCCTCTTAGTACACTCAAGCCTCCAGTCTTCTGATTAGCAGCTGAGCACATTAATTGTTTATACCCTCAAAGCCTCCTAATAACATACAGCCACGAGTTCCTTCCAACTCATAGCAATCCAGTCAGAAAGAGGAGAACGGTTCCTTACAGCTTCTGAGACTGTGAATCTTTAACAGGGGCAGACAGCCTTCTCTTTCTCCCATGAAGCAGATGCTGGGTTTGAACTGCCAACCTTGCAGTTAGCAGCCCAATGCTGAACCCACTGCACAAATATAGCTCCTGTAGTAAGTCTTTCAAAAACCCAAAACCAAATCCATCAGCCTTCTGTTAATTCCAAGCTGTAGCAACCATGCAGGACAGAGTGTAAGTGTCTGATAGGGTTTCCGAGGCTATAATCTTTTCAGAAGCAGACCGCCACATCTTTCTCCCAGAGAGCCACTGGTGGGTTTGAACCACCCACCTTTCAGTTAGCAGCTGAGCACTGAACCACTGTGTTACTAAGGCTTCTTCTAATTGCCTTTGCATAACAAAGGTTTTGTATTTTATATTTATTCATAAGTTATACATTATTTTATAGTTAGATCAGAGTTCTTCTGTGTTTAACTCATCCCAAGTTCTCTCTTTTTCTCATTCCACTCCACAGTTTTAAGCTCTTTCTGAACAGAAACCATGTTACAATCTTAATACCTGTTCACAGTAAGTACCCTAAGGTTAGCAGAATGGATTATGTGACTACATGCAGTTCTAAGTAATTTTCTGCTTATTTATACAACTCCTGCAACTGTAGATAAAACTTTTAGATAAAAGATTGTCTTAGGCCTTGCCTACACTATTTGTTGTTGTTCAGTGCCATCGAGTCGGTTCCAACTTATAGTGTCACTGTATAGGGTTTCCAAGGAGCAGCTGGTGCATTTGAACAGCTGACCTTGAAGTTCAAGCCGACCGTGTGGTCCAGTGCATTAACCCAGAGCGCCACACCAGGGCTCCACTACTTAGGACATTATGAACCAACTGAGAAGGTGCAGAATTACCTTCACAAAGAATTTTGCCTCCCTTCACTGATAAACAGGAGTCCTGGTGTGGCACCTTAGGATAAGCACTTGACCTCTAGGTCACTTTGAACTGCAAGGTCAGTGGTTCAAACTTACCAGCCACTCCTGGGAAACCCTATACAGGGCTGCTATGACTAGGAAACAACTCAATGGCACACAACAACAACTTTTCAGTGATAAATAAATGTGTGCCTTAACAAACCAAGTTTTTACTGAACATTTTATTGTGGTTTGTGTAAAAGTTTGCACAGCAAATTAGTTTCCTATTCAACAACGATACACATTTTGTTTCATGACATTAGCAACCCTGTATAGGGTTTCCAAAGCTGTTAAGTCTTTGAGGGAATACATAAAGTTGAACATGGAGAAAGATCCTCTGACAAACCTAGTTATACTGTGGGTGCACTTCCAAACACCATTCTACAACTGGTCAGCTCACATATTCCCGACGTAGCCACTTATCAATTATTGTTTGTTATTACTGCTATGGCAGAATTGTGTGTGTAATCATTTTTACCATTGTTAAGGCACAATTTAAGATTTAAACCGTTCAGCATTTAGAGTTTACAAACTCCTGATTTGCTTTGACTTCCAGAGCTAGCTGTCACTAACACAGAAGGGCCGCAGCTATAAGTACCTGCTTGCTGAAAGTTTCAGAATATAATTAGTATAAACAGATGGAAGACCACTGTTCACTTTCTTTTGGTTTCACTCTAAAGATCATCCTTCACCTTAGTTTCCTCCAACATCTAATAAACAATTGGACAGTCTTCATGGCAATGAGAAGAGAGATTTGCTTAACAACACAGTCATTGTTTATAAGGTATGATTTGGGCTGACATCTTTTTAATGTGCTTTCTGTTTTGGCTTCATTAACTTTATTGTCTTTTCTTTTGCAAACAATGAAAATTTCTGCATGAGTAGTTAACAAATGAAGAATATAAAAAACCATAAGCAAGTTAAACAAGGACTAAAAAACGCAAAGTAACCTTTGTAGTACTGAAGACTTACACTATGAGACCGTACATATGTAGCACATTGGTGGTTATGTGCCGTGGAGTCGGTTCCAACTCATAGCGACCCTGTACAGGGTTTCCAAGGCTGTAAATCTTACGGGAGCATATTTCTCCCACAGAACAGCTGGTAGTTTCGAACTGCTGACCTTGCAATTGGCAGACCGATTTGTAACCACTACGCTACCAGAGTATACATTGTAGTAATTAATGGGAGCCAGGAGTCCTGGTGTGGCACTGTGGATTAATGCGCCAGACTGCAAACCATATGAACTGTAAGGCAGTGGTTCAAGCTCACCAGCTGTTCCTCAGAAACCCTATACAGGGTCGCTATGGGTCAGAACCAACTCAAAGGTACTTCACAACAACAACAATGGGAGCCAGGTGAAGGAAAACTCCAACACCCATTACAAGAGAACTAAATGAATCAAAACCAAAGTCAGACATTAGAATTCTGCATGCCTAGTAAAACTGCTTCTTTTTATAAAAGGAAAAAATTATAAAAGAAACATCAAGATTATTCTGATATTCTTTGAACCACAGCATCAAACTCTTTTTTTAATTTACCTATTACCCATGATATACCAAGAAATCCTCCCTTGAAAGTGATATACCAAGTGCCTCCTAGAAAGGCACTACAGAAAAAGATATTACAAATGCAAAAATATTATGTGGTGGACAGACATAAGCATACAGCGTGGCATGACCATCTCATCGTACTTTTATACAACTGCTAAACCACAGCGACGCTTAAAACTCTCCTTACCTAAAAGAATGTGAAAGGGCTTGCAATCTGCAAGCAGCCAGAGTAAGCATTAAAAAAGAAAGGAAGGTCTGGTGAATCTAAAACAATTAAATCACCTACTATTTAAAACTGGTACAAGGTCTTAATTGGATTCCAAAGTGCTACACAATTCTGTAAGCATGAAAAAGAAGGCAAAGCACCTAACAAAGATGCTTAAATAACTGTTACAGGATCCAAGAATGCTATGTTACTTGCTTAGATGATTGGTCAAATATAATGAGTCATTTAGTCCTTCCAGCATAACATATCGTATACATGATATACATTGGTTGACCAAATCTATTCAACCAACAAAATTCTGGTTGTTCCCCACAAAAGATAAATACAATCATGCAACCTGAGGTTTCTTTAAAAAAAACAACAATTATAAATCTTGCATGCCAATAGCAACACAGCTGATTCAACCACATCAGTCATTTTCAGTACTACTCAAATCCACACTATGAGGGACAAGAGGCACAAAAGCACTGTGAAGTGGTTTTATAAAAATGACCAAGATAATTTTGCAGACTACTCTAAAATGCAAATGCAAAATAAAAAGCAACACCTCACAATCAAGATTTAGGCCTAAGCATGAAAGTAGACACAGCTAACAGATCAGTGAAAATCACTGCACACATAAGTACGTTACAATAACATCATGGTATAGAAACGTAACATACGGTAAAGCCAGGTTGCAATTCAAGCGTGCACATCAACAATGTAATACTCAACCCCAGTAAAACACCACGCTCTGCCCACAATCACAAGTTTGTCACCACGAGAGAAATACTTACCCTGCATAACTAAAGAGTAAATACACAAATATATATTTGTATATATATAAAAAAGTACACAACCAGAATTTTTAAACAATCTTCATTGTATTCGTAAGATGGTAAGTTTGAAGTTTGATTGTAATGCCCAGAGAATTTTGGAAAACATCTTAGGTGCTGGTTTGAAAGCATGCCCTTCTCCCCACTACTCTAGCAGAGGAGTGTGCAGGCATCAGCCAGTACAAAGTTGGGAAACAAACGCAATCAAAATAATAGGTTTTCGTTTGCCTCTGCTACTTAATGAACAAAGAAAAACAAAGACATACTTTACGTCTTCCAGCTTTTTAGTGATGACTGATCCAACAGATGAAAAAGCAGCTGAAGCTTTTTGTCCAGCCTGAGACAAGGTTTCAGATGTCTTCTTGTATCTATATTAAATTATAAAAGAAAAGTAAGCTTTAAATAACAATCCATTGTTTCAAGTACAGTGGTCACCATTTGCTCAAAAACTCTCAAAAACAAAATTAAAAAAAAAAGAACATCATCTAAAATCTTCTACAATACCTACAATACCAGGTCAGCATCTTCACAGCATCTTATCCTTAACTCTAATTCCGGGTAGCATCTTTAGCAGCACCTTAGGACAGCCAGAAAGGTAAAGGCCAAGACAGGCTAAGGCCAAAAAAATCAGGGGATGGACCAAAAGGTAGTCATGGAGCACAGATGAAAATAAGCCAGAGTCTGAAATAAATTATATCTCAACTCCTCCTTCCTTTTCAAACAAAAATCGAATCAAATTCCTCAGATGCCTTTTATAATTTAATCTAATATACAGGGGCCAGGAATAAGGAGTTAGGTCAGGATCGGTAGGGCCCATGTGTATTTTACTGTCCAAGTAAATTTTATTGATGTAAAGAATTGTTTTTAATTGTGCATGTCTAATAAAGAAGCTCTGGTAGCATAGTGGTTTACAAATTGGGCTGCAAACCGCAAGGTCAGCAGTTCGAAACTACCAGCTGTTCCATGGGAGAAAGATGAGGCTTTCTGCTCCTGTAAAGATTTACATCCTTGGAAACCCTGGACAGGGTCGCTATGAGTCAGAACCGACTCCACTGCACATAAGCACCACCACAGAGCTACCAAATAAGAATTTAGTGGACTCTCCACAGAGTATGTAAAAGGAATACTTAAAATGAGTGTAATGTGGTATTGGTTATAACACAAAGCAAGACACACACACAGAAGAATATTAACCGAAGAGGTTAAGATCCCATTATAGCAAGGAAACACAATTTATGGAGATACAATCAAAGAATAGTTTCCTGCCATCAACTTATACACAGAGAAAATGGATCAAAAGCAATCGGCACCCTAGTCCTGTCATTTCAGAAATGCAGTCTGCTTCATTTATGACGGTTAAGTGATAGAAAAGCCCACCATGAAGGGCCCCAATTCAGCAGATGGAACTGACTACAGAAGACAAAGAACATAGTTTGCTAGAAACTTGCTCCTACTTTTGTTGGGAAACAACACAACTGCTGGTAATAATTCCTTATTATAATTTGTATATAAACAAGAGAGAAAGGTTACGGAGTTGGTATCTGTCACACCACGTAGCCCAAGCATCTTGTGGTCCAGGTAATGTCATTGCTGCTTTTGCTTTAGATACCATCGAGTCAATTTCAGCTCATAGCAACCCTATGTGATGGAGTAGAATGTTTTCTAAGCTGTAATCTTTCCGAAGCAAATCGCCAGGGCTTGTCTCCCCCAGAGCCCAAGTGAGTTCAAGCCTTTTAGTAGTAGCTGTGTGCTTAACCCATGCACAACCAGACCTCCTTCTTGCTTTGCACAAACCCACTGCCATCAACTCAATTCCAACTCACAGCCACTGTGTTTAGGGTTTCCAAGGCTGTAAATCGTTATGGGAGCAAAAAAGTCTCAGCTTTCTCCCACAAAGTGACTCGTGGGTTTGAACTGTGGACCTTGCAGTTAGCAATCCAAATGCTTATCTGAAGACGCCACCAGAGCTCCTTCATACTTTATGTATAGAGCAGTGTGAAAAAAACTTTAGCTTTATAGTCAGCTAAACTCAAATTCAAATCCAGACTCCATATTTCCAGTCAAAACTTGTCTTAAGCCTGTGTCCTTCTCATAAGGACTATCTTATCACCTATCCTGCTGGGTGATTCTGAGGACTAAGTGGTACAATGTACAAATTTGGTAAGTCAAAATGTACCATTTTTTGGAACTTAAATTTTATTTCTTTAACTCTCAGGAAGCTTGTTTTCTTTCTGTCCTCCAGAATGGTTTAGAATGCTGAAGTAAGAAAACAGTCAAATACACGTGCAAATTGGAAAGACTCCACTCTGTATCATTCAAAAAAACTGCCAGCCCCTTTCTCTTCCCCTCCACATCTAAGATGGGGGAAAGCGTCCTCTAGCATTCTCTAGATACATGTATGCTCAAGTGCACATACGCGGATGTTGCTGTCACATCTTGCCACCCTTTGGCAATGTTCTGCTTTATTTCCTGTAGTGAACCAATCCCAAGTTTCCGCTTGATCTCTGATAGATGCTTCTCTTTTGCTGCTAATACTTGAGACAGAGTCTGGATCTCCTCTTCTACCTATGAGAAAGTAAATTGGGGTGGAAATACAGCAAGAGTCTTTTAGTAAAATCATTAATGTAAAACTATACTCAAAATTCTAGTCATTAAAAAAAATTTTTTTTGATTCATTTATTTGTGTCATTTTTAAAACCTGTGAAAGCCAAAATCTGTGTTAAGATGAAAAGCTGCCATTTTCCACTAAGAGAGGGAAAGAAAACAACACACACACACACACACACAAAGAAAAACCAATGCCAGAATCGAGTTGGTTCTGACTCTTGGCGACCCTATATAGTTTCTGATAATGTAAATCTCTAAGGAGCCGGCAGTCTCATCTGTCTCCCATGGAGTAGCTGGTAGCTTTGAACTGCCGACCTTGCAGCTAATAGTCCAATGCCTAACCAACAGAGTCACTAGGGCTCCTTTCTACTAATACTTGTTACTGAGTGCTGTGAAGTCGGTTCCAACCCACAAAACCTGTATAGGGTTTCAGAGGCTGTAAATCTTTGTGGTAGCAGAAAGCCTCATCTTTCTCCCCATGGAGTGGCTGGTAGACTTGAACCGCCAACCTTATGGTTCACAGTCTAGTGTTTACCTATGGAGCCACTGTACTTCCTTTTACCAATAGAGGGAGACAGAAAATTACTAAGACTGCAACCTGTCAAAGGCAGAAGATCTGCAACACCCAGAAAGGCAAGACCATCCCAATAAAACCCAGAATAACAAGGCAGTCAAGTTCCACCTTTCACAGGTTCCACTGTATAGTGTTGTCAAGTAATGTGGTCCATGGTTTATCTGTTCTAGAGAGTTTGTTTTGTTGCGGTTGGTTGGTTGTTTTGCACAGCACCGCTTTCTTTATATTTCTATCCTGAGATGTCTTTAGCCTTCTCTTGCCCCTGGAACTGACTATAACACCATGTGCTTTACAAACACAAACAGTAGTATGTGTTAAGTGAAAACACAAAGCTCCAAATATAACAGTTCTTCTTGAAAACATTACACTAAGTGAGAGAAGCCAGACACCGAAGACCACACATATCATGTAAGTCCATTTAGATGAGTTATCCGCAGAAGGCAAATGCAAAGAGGCAGGAAGCTGCTTACTGATTTCCAGGGACTGGGGACACTGGTCTACTAAACTAACCACAAGGTCGCCAGTTCAAACCCACTAGCTGCTCCTCGGAAACCTAGACAGGGTCACTATCAGTCGGAATCAACTCGATGGCACATAATAACAACCACCACAAGGGGCTGGGGGAAGTAGAAATGGAGATGGGTTTCCTTTTGGGATGCAAAAAATATTCTGGAATTTGATAGTGGTAATAATTGTACTCTTGATGAAGTGCTGTAGGAACAGCACTGGACTGTGAGCCACAAGGCTGGCAGGTCAAACCCACCAGCTTCTCCTTGGAAACCCTACATAGGGTCACTACGAGTCGGAAGCAACTCAAGGGCACTTAACAACAGTCGCACAATACTGCAAAGGTACTAAATGTCATTGAATTGTACACTTTAAAATAGTTAAGATGGTAATTTTTATGTTAGGCGTATTTACCACAATAATAACAATCATAATATTACTAAAGCGTGGTTCTTTACCTTTGCCAGTTCTCTCTTTAGCTCTTCCTGCTCCTCCTCTGATAAGACCTCCGTGGTACTGATCGTGGCGGCAGCATCTTCCCCTTCCTCCAGTACTGGGTCTGTTCTCAGCCCACCTTGGTGAGAATTAAAAAAAAAATACCCTTTAGGTCTGGAAGCCAACATTCTCCTATTGGCTAGTCACCTGCCCCAGCCAGAATAACAGCAGTTAGATTAGAGCTCACACACCTCCTTTCTGGACCTTCAAATGACCTGGCTCTTCCAGTAAAGGTCAAAAGAGAAGTCTGGGCTGACCACTAAAAACAGACAACTTAGACTCAAAATATGAGTTTAGAAAAAATAGCATTCTCAAACTTCTGCTTATGTTCTCAGTTATGATATATTTGCCTGTGAAGCTGAAGAGTCAGAAGCCAGGAATGGGATCTTGCCAAGGCTTTAAAATGCTCAAACAGTTAGTCAGCAAGAATTAGATGGAAGATTTTAGCCACTTCCCACTAACGGAAGGAAATGGTGTGAGGGCTTTTCGCTTCCTCTGGTTATCAAACCCGACAGTGAACAACCTCCTCGATAGAAGAGGAACTGCTGACCAAACTAAATGCATGAAGAAATTGTATTCAATTTCATCCCATCAGTTGGAAGTGAGAAACACCTGTAATTTTTCAATATCTCATCCAGATGCCCTTAATAAATTTTAATGTATATTACTCATAGAAATGACCAGACCCATGAAGAGGTTTTCCACATTATTTAAGAACCTTCCTCTGCATCCATTTCCCTGGATGAGAGCCAATGACTAAAAGCCCATCAGGGAGAACACGGGATTTCTGGAGAGCAGCCAGAAAGACCCTTCTTCCCAACCCCCAACCACAGGACTCGGATGAGACCCAGGAGTGGCATCACCATGGATGCAAAATTTAAGGGGATAGCAAAACATGTGATAATGTTTTAATGTAATAAATTTTAAAAACAAAAGGTAACTTAAAAAAATCCATGATGAACAAAATACCCAAAGTCTAAACAACATCAATATCTCTCATTTTTCCTTTTGCCACACGCTCTAAAACAGCTCCTCAGGGAAAATATTACTGATCTTTTCTTTAGGTTAAATTTTAATATCATCATGGCTTTTTTCCCCCCAATTCATTTTTTTTTAAGCTTTTATTGTGATTTGAATGAAAGTTTACAGGGCAGATCATCAGTTTTACATTCAACAAATCATATACTTTGTTTCATTTCAATGTTTATAATCTCCTCCATGTACCATCAAGCATACATAATAATTTAAACCACCAAAGGGCCCCTTCTGCAAGTCTGCTTCCTGGCAACCAGCTTTCAGTCCCTGTGTTTCCATGAATCTAGAGTCCTCGGCTGCATCCTCTCTCCATGTCCCCATTTCTGCCTCCATCTCTGGTGTCCCTGCTTCTCTGGATAGGGCCCTGCATTCTACTTGTGCTCTTCTCCCTTTAAGGTCCTAGGATCCTCTGTTTCTGGACTGTAAGATTGACTATTCAGCCCATTTTTGTTACCAAACTTCTACCTTTACAGCGTGACAGTTGCAATTAGTCATAATAACAACTACTCACTGTTGACTCATAAAAATCTTATCCCATCTCTTTTTACCAGACCCATCTACACAAGATGAAAACTATTTAGTGGGGATTCTATCTTTCCCTGCACACTCTTAAACTAAACTCC